CCCTCAGCTCAAGAGGGACAGGGAACTGCTTGAGAGAGTCCAGCACAGAGCCACAAAGATGATGAAGGGAGTGGAACATCTCCCTTATGAGGAACGGCTGAAGGAGCTGGGTCTCTTTAGCTTGGAGAAGAGGAGGCTGAGGGGTGACCTCATAAATGTTTATAAGTATGCAAAGGGTAAGTGTCAGGAGGATGGAGCCAGGCTCTTCTTAGTGATGTCCAATGTTAGGACAAGGCCAGTGGATGCAAGGTGGAACATAGGAGGTTCCACAAAAACAGGAAAACCTTTTTCACTGTGAGGGTGACAGAGCACTGGCACAGGCTGCCCAGGGAGGCTGTGGGATCTCCTTTTCTGGAGACATTCCAAACCCACCTGGACACGTTCCTGTGTGACCTACTCTGGGTGATCCTGCTCTGACAAGGGTGTTGGACTAGATAATCTTTCAAGGTCCCTTGCAACTCCTAGCATTTCTGTGATTCTGTGACAAGAAGATGGGAGTTTTCTTTGAAGGTAGTGTAAGGGGTCATGTTGTCCTGTCATGACCAACCCTGTGGGACAACCATGTGGTGAATCCTGCACGATGGAAACCTAAAGGAATTCCTTTAGCAAGTAGGGAATACCTCAAAGAGATAAAAGCAGTAGCAGCTTCTTTGCAGCTGCTTGTGGGCAAAGTTGCTTTAAAATCTCCCATTGCAACACTTCTATCCCTTCCCTGTGTAGAGCCAAACCTACCCAGAAGGATGGCTGCAACTGTTTTGGGGTAGTGGTGTAACTAGCAGGTAGATTCTCAAGTTGTTATTAAGATGAAAGATGGGGGACCAGTGAAAGTCTTTACTGCAATATTTTGTTTGAAAAACAGTCTAGTTAGTTATTCAGTATGTGAACTGTTCCAGTGTGTCACTTGGTGGATGATGAAGAATGTCATTGCTATGATTAAAAAAAACCAAACTATCAAATAGTTAGCTTGATAAACGTTATGCTAGTAGTTGTAGTCAGGAGAGGTTTGGATCTGGTTTTGCTTTATCTAAATAGCAGTTTACTCACCCATCTTATGAGTTAAGTGCAGGAACAGAAGCTGTTAGATGGAGCTGTGAGGTGTTCCATCCTGGATATGCAGTATGAGAGCATTTCGGTCTTGTTTTTAGGAATCCCTGGCAATGCTGGGCTGAGGGGAATCATTGGGCCACCAGGATCTCCAGGGCAGGCAGGATCTGTCGGATTCCCTGGAGCTCGTGGAACAACAGGACCTAAAGGTATATCTGGAACCTGCACATGCAAAGAGAAATGGGGTCAGAAAACCAGTGTTTTGGCCAAGATTGTCACAGCAGGCAGGCAGCACTTTTATATGTGGGCCAGCTGTGCATGAGAAATCAGCTCATTTCTGGGCAGTGTTAGTGCAGGCACCAGCTGCTAGAAATGAAGAGAGGAGTGGTTTGAAAGAGAGGCACTCACTTGATTTGGATCCCTAATGGGTGTTCGTGGAGGGTAAAACTGGTAAGAGTGGTTGGAAGAGATTCTATGAAGGGGGCCTCTGTGAAGGATCACTTTATATACTGTGTTTCCCTGTGCTTCACATTTCTCTTACGTGTTGTAGTCTCCATGAAACGTCCTATGCATTTCCACTCAACTAGGTTATTTGCTTATTTGCTCATTTATGTGTTCCTAATGTCTCTTCAGGGTTTCATGGATTTCCAGGCTTAAATGGTCTGAATGGCTTGCCGGGAACAAAAGGGTCTCCTGGAACACCAGGTAAGGGAAATGTGTAGTAGAAGTGTAAGTGTCATAGTTGGGGAAATGGATACACTGGTTCATCATGAGAGTAGTATTCCTCAAAAAATTCTTCTATTTCACCCAGTTCTGAATTTAGTTATAACCTTAAAAAACCCCCTCAGGATACTGAATGTACATGAACAAATTCTTCTTTAATGCCAGTAAGAATAAGAAGTAATTTCACTGTGTAGTGAAGAGGCTTTTCTGGTCATGGTTTTCCTTAAATTCTTGAAGGACTGTGTTACTGCTGTGAAGTTGTTGGAGTGAAATCATGAAATTCTTCCATTTCTAAAGGATGTTTGATTTTAGCAGGGCAGCATAAAATGCTTGCTTTGGGTGGGCTTAGCGATGGCATGTTTCCTTACTGCCCTCATTATATGGAACTCAGGAAAGGCATCTGTAAAATCAGAAGCTGATTTCTGTGATTAGATTCTGGATTCTGCTTTTGGGAAGCTTCTGCTGGATTTTTTTATAATTTTAACAGTATGAAATAGAATGTAGTTCTGTTTTGCAAATAGTGTTTTGCTAAATGTAAGGAGGTGGAGAAACTTTACCGAAGAGTCTCGTGGCAGTCATCTCGTAAAGCAGGATTTAAAATTTGCAGTACATATTTTATGCATGAAAATGAACAGTCTTGATGTGTAGAACTCAAATGATGCCTGCATTTTCTCTGATTAAACATTCTGCATTGGAAAGTAATGATGTACAACATACAAATCCTTCATAATTTTCTTGTCTGAGAGAGCTGTTTAGTATTTACTCTTACCAGAGTGACATGCTGAACAATCTCCCTGCAGCTCTTCCTGGCAGCCTCTGCCCTGCACCACTTGTGCCTCAATGTGTCTTCTGCAATAGTCTGTGGGAACTGTCTCTCCATGTGTTGGCACATGGAACCTGCTAGATTATTTAAAGAGCAGAAGTTTGAGTCTGTGTTGCATCCTCTTAAGAGCTATAGCATACAGACTGGCAGGAAAATCCTGTCACAGGAGTTCTCTGTTCACATCCTTGTGCACGTGAGGAACCAAATGTTTTTCTGTTGCTCAGCTGAAAACAGCAGAGAGAGTAGTAAATGGCTACTTTTTGTTATAACTCAGTTTGTGTATTAATTTAACTGCTATTAGGCAATTTGAATAAGTCCTCTTAACTTTGTTAAACATGTTTAATTAGGTCTGAGTGAAGCTGGACTGAAAGGCCCTGCAGGTCTCCCAGGTCCAAAGGGTGAAGAAGGTTCTCCAGGCTTGAGTAGAGGAGCTCTAGGATTCCCTGGACCAAAAGGCTCATCAGGAGACATGGGTAAATACTAATGTTCTGAAAGCCTGTCAGGATTAACCAGCAGCTCAGGTTAATGGGTTACATGGTCAGCAGAATTACCAAAGAGAACTCCTGAAGCCACAAAGGTTCTTAGTAGTTTGACAGGTAAACATTAAATCTGTGATGTGGCTATGTATTTGAGAAACAGTTGGTTACACCGTTCTTACAGAGTTTATACCTCACCTCAACAGCTGAATATGTAATATTTCCCCTCATGTAGTGAGATATGACTTTGTTCTCCTCAATATAAACACTACTCTGCCACTACTTCTTTCCATGTCTGAAGATCATTAAAGATCTTTGGCTGCTGTCTCACTTTGTGTTTCTTATTCTAGGTCCCCCTGGTCCTGTGGGTCTGCCTGGCTTGCCAGGAACACCTGGAGCTTCTCTTCCTTCTGATATACGTGGGAGACCTGGGGATGCTGGCCATCCAGGAATTGATGGGAGTTCGGGTATGAAGAGAGAGGCCTTTTAAGGAAAGTGGACTAGCTAAGGGGATTTCTGTTTCTTTATGTGCTTCCTTTAAAGAGCTCTGAGGGGAAATTAGCTGAGTAGTGTGACTTTAGTAACATGTGGTTTAGATCAGGAACTGAGAATGAGGAGGTCTGTTTTCAGTTCCTCCTATTGAGTCCTGATTTGATTTAGCCTGTTCTTAAAGCTCTAGATCGTATTCATTTCACCTGTTGTGGCACCAAAGACAGGCTTAGGTGCTAAAGTAGATACTTGAGTCCAGTGTGGTGTGTCTAAATTTGGACACCAGCTGCATTTGGACTGTGTTTGCCACAGCTGTATTCATAGGCTCTGTGTAAAGTTTAAGCTGTGTGAGCTGCGAGGTAGCACAGCTTCATTGCTACTTAGAGGCACTTGCCATAGGGTCAGCAAGTATAGTTTGTAAGATTTGTCATGATAGTATTGACACCCATTCAATACCTCACAGCTTTGTCAGAGAGGCTGAGACTCTAGCCCTTTCCCCAGCCAAGGATTTGAAGCCACTGCTCTCGTTCTACTAGGGAATGTCCGAGTCACCAGGATAACTACCGGGTAGGGCAAGGGCTATGCTTAGATCTAGAATTTGAAGCTAAATTACTGTGGTTAAAAGGATTTAAATGTTTATGACACCTAAGTGAGTGAATGGGATCTAATTCTCTTCTTTCAGGAGGAGGACACCCCTGGAAATATAAACACCTAAACAACGACTGTCCTCCATAAAGATGTACTGGGGATAGCCCCAGCATTTACTTTGCTCGAAGAGCAAGTTGTGATAATCACCACTGTGTTCCGTAGGTCTTCCAGGTCCTCCAGGACCACAAGGGCCCCCTGGCCCAGCTTCTGACCAAGGTGACACAGGCAGTCCAGGTTTCCCTGGTGTTACTGGCTTGCAAGGTGTTAAGGGTGACGAGGGGCCCACTGGTCCAGTTGGACTCCCTGGAGCATCTGGATTCAAAGGTAATCTTGTCTTGAAAGGGTCTGGGTGTGGTTTGGCATTTTGAGAGTATGAATAGCTATTGTGTGGTTCATGTGACTGAAACAAATCCTCATTCAGGTGTAAGCACAGCTGAGTTTGTTTTACTGACTCCAAAAGCAGCAAAGTGAGGCCACCTCCAGGTGCTCCTCTCCTCCCCTCTTGACCCCTCTCCTCCTCACTTGTCGACTCCATTTACCAACTTGGATATGTTTTCTAGGCAAAGATTGGAGATGCTGTTTCATCCTACTTATGTATGCTCAGAGGCATAGTGTGGTGGATTTGAGTCTCCACAAGAAGCTAAGAGAATTGTAGGAGTTAAGAGATCTTGTTCTGGACTAAGTCTCTCTTTGGTCTCTGCCAAAGGAGGCTAGAGGACAGCTGCAAACAAGAACTCTAGTAGCAAGGTTTCAAAGAAACTGCACAGCTGAAAAGCCAGGAGAGGATGGAAAACCATAGCCAGTTGAAGAACTGTATGCTGTCTTTGTAGGCTGGCAGATTCTCATCCCTCTGTGCTGTGTGTAAAGCTGGATTCAAAATAGGTGTGTGCTCCCCAAACACTGTGCATGGGTTACACAAGGAAGGGGAAGAATACTTTCAATAAAGTAATTAGGTAGGAGTGGAAATTCTTGTCTTGAGGCTCTTCTAAACAGCAAAATGGGTATATGGTTCCTTAAGTGTCATGGTCTCCTCCATCTCAAAGGTGAAATGCTGTTGCTATTGCTGCCATCAGTGTTTCTCAGCACCCTATGCTTAGCTCTGGAGTTCTTTACCTGTGTATCTCTGCAGGTATAAGAGGTGAGCCTGGCCTTATGGGGATGCCAGGTAAAGATGGACCCCTGGGGGATCCTGGTTATCCTGGGCTGAAAGGTGAAATGGGCCATAGAGGTGAGTGCTGGAGAGCTTGAAAAGCTGTACTTTGTTGCAGGTACTTTGGGATGGGGAAAATTTGAGAGCTCCCTTAGTGGGCTTATTTGGGGACATTATTTAAAATAAATTAGGAAGAGCTTGTATTTTTACAAAATACCCAGTGCTGATGTACTAAGGCAGTCTTAATTTAGCATACCTCTACTTGTACTTTGTGTCAGTATTATCCTCAAAACTGTGTATTTTTGGGGAGTACTTACACTGTCATCTGCACTATATGCAGGTCTCCCTGGCCAACAAGGGGCTCCAGGTATAACCCCACAGCCAGAAGAAGTCACAGCCCCTGCAGGCTTACCTGGTCTGCCAGGAATTGATGGTGTCCCTGGCTTTGATGGAGATCCTGGTTTCCAGGGCCCAGCTGGAAAACCAGGTAAAAATTATGCTCAGATCACTGAAATGCTAGCCTTCTGGAAGAACAGCACTGCTTTCTCAAATGCATTAGGAAGGCTTACAGGATTTTCTAATAAAGGAAATAATTCTAGCAAAGTGCATATCATGTATTTGATAAATTCCATTCATTTGCTTTTACAGTGTTTTTTAATTAGGTTTATCTCCACCGCTCAATCCCTTACTAGACAATCAGATTGTGTGGAACCCCTGTATGGAGTTAGTTGTTTGTAACCACAGCTGTTGAAGAGTGAACTTTCAGCATGGCTGGTGATATCATATTCCTCTTCTGGAATATGTTGCAGGAATGAAGGCATTAGTGTGAGGAAATGATGTTGCTAATGGTGTTTAATTTCAGGTACAAAAGGTCTGCCAGGAAGATCTGGTTTGAAAGGACGTGATGGTTTACCTGGATCACCTGGCATAGCTGGGGATCCAGGACCTTCAGGTGCTCCAGGGCCACAGGGATTTGAAGGTAATTTTATGATTTGGGCAGCACAGATCAGAAAGAAGAAATCAGTAGAATTCCATTTGCCTACAAGTTCTGCAGAGACCCTCCCCAGCACTCCATTACCTTAGGAAGGCTAGCAGTATATACAATCTTCTGTCTTGTATCTGCAGTGAAGTAAATTTAATCTTAATGAGGAAGACACATGTCATTGTTGTCTATCACTGCTAGTGTTTCATTATGTATAATTGTGAACAGCTTTTGGTATTAATGTTTTGTGGATGTGGGAATCACCTTGAAGATCTAAAAAAGTGCTTTGATATTTGCAGTGAACTCACAGTGAACTGTGAGAGCTGGATACTAGAGGAAAGGCAGTGAGAGAAGGTTTGAATTCTGCCATAGATTTGTTGTACAACTTTTGGCCTTTCTGTGTCAAAAAATATCACCATGAAGAGCACTATAACAAAAATTAATTTATTTTTAGTTGGTGCTTTGAGTTTCTCAGAATTATTGTACTGTGAGATACATGCTAACACATTGGCACCAGAGTTGTTGGGCAGAGAAGGAAAATTAAATGAGGTAGGAGATGGGTGAGTGCTACTGTGAAATGAACTGGTAAGTCTGGTCATTCGTACAACAACCATCAAAACTTGAACTCCTCATTCTACAAGACTGACGTAAACACAATGAGAGCAGATATAGAGCCAGTTTATGTCCACACTGCGTATTAGTAATAGTAACTCCTTTTCTATCTTGCAGGTGTTGCTGGAAAGCCAGGCTTACTTGGTTTGCCAGGAATGCCTGGTCGGAGCGTGGGTGTTGGATATACCTTAGTGAAGCACAGTCAGTCAGACCAAATCCCACCTTGTCCCATAGGAATGAATAAACTCTGGGATGGCTACAGCTTATTGTATGTGGAGGGGCAGGAAAAGTCACACAACCAGGATCTTGGTGAGTTGACGAGATTCTTTGAGGCATAAACAGTGTAGGCCAAAATCCCATCTCAAATGAGCAATCTTCATTGGCATTGCAGGTAGTTGTAGTAGAGGTGGTGAAAGTCTGCTTGGCCAGAATTTGTGCTGGGAGCAGTGTCACTTGTGCCATCCTCCAAATTTCATGTCTAGTGCATGTGAGCTGCAGCATTTGGCAGGTACTTGCTATGACCACTTCTCCCATTTTTCTAGGTTTTGCTGGCTCATGTTTGCCTCGCTTCAGCACTATGCCTTTCATTTACTGCAACATCAATGAAGTCTGCTACTATGCCAGCCGAAATGACAAGTCCTACTGGCTCTCCACCACTGCTCCTATCCCCATGATGCCAGTGGACAGTGTCCAGATCCCACAGTACATCAGTCGCTGCTCAGTATGTGAAGCACCTTCCCAGGCTGTGGCTGTGCACAGCCAGGACATCACCATCCCACAGTGTCCCCTTGGCTGGCGCAGCCTATGGATAGGATACTCCTTCCTTATGGTAAGGATACTACTGCTAATGCAAAGGAAGCTTTATACATTTCTAGATCTCCTCTCTGACCATGGAACTGAGACTGTATTCTATGAGTTGCTTAGAATAAACAAGAACCCCTGTAGCTTCTTGCCGTCTTTATCAGCTGGCCTGCTGTAGCCTTTCTGAGTTTGTTCCTGTTTAGCTCGCCACCTCACCTGTACTACTCATGTTCAGCAGTAGCATTTATGCACTAGTTCTGTATTGCCACAGATATTCTTTGTTGTCAAACCTTTTAATGTGGAAATGCTAATTAAGCTACAGCATTGTCTTAGTCCCCTCTGTCAGCGGAAAAAGTAGAACTAGTTGAGAGGCGTCCCTGCCCCCAACAGGGACGTTGGATTAAATGATCTCTAAGGTCCCTTCCAGCCTAGGCCATTCTATGATCATCTCAAACATTTTCCATTGAGCTTTCCTAGCAGCTCATTAATGTAAGATTGTTAGAAAAGCATGAAGTCAGCATTGTTTTTTCTAAATGTTCCCAGCTTGCAAGTGAAAAGTGGTTTTCTGCTATACCAGGCCTGTATTATTCACCCTAAGTACATTCCTCTGCTTCTTCACCTCTAGCCCTGACTCAGAGGACACATACACATAGACAAGGTATAATTTTGGTTGCCTGTTTGGCTAACTTTAGCAATGGAACTGGAGGACTCTTCTGTTTACCTCCCCTCCTGCTCCTCTGAACTCATTTCAATGGACATCTTTCTTTCAGCATACTGCAGCTGGTGCGGAAGGTGGAGGTCAGTCCCTCGTCTCACCTGGCTCTTGCCTGGAGGATTTCCGTGCTACTCCATTCATTGAGTGCAGTGGTGCTCGGGGAACATGCCATTACTTTGCAAACAAATACAGCTTCTGGCTGACAACAGTTGAACAGTTGCAGCAGTTTGTCAGCGCTCCGCCCTCAGAAACTCTGAAAGCAGGACAGCTTCGAACAAGGGTCAGCCGTTGCCAAGTGTGCATGAAGAACTTGTAGTAACAAAAACATAGTAACATTAACAGTCTGTTACTTAAGACTAGACATCACTGATGTGAAGAAGGATAAATTCATAAACCTGTTTTGTGTGTGGTTAATGTGTGAGCAGACAGCCAAGACAGCCCGAGTTCTATGAAAATTGAGGCTTGTGTCCAGGAGTTTGACTGCAGACAGAGGAGGGAGAGACTCATGCTCCGAAACCTCTGTTTTTTGTGGACTATAATATTATGCTTTTACTTCAATGGGGTTTTTTTCCCCCTTCGTGGGTGGCTACCTCAGAAGGTATCTGTGAGTTACTTATTCAGACCAAAGAATAACTGATGTCTCATGTTACACCACTCCTTTGTCTGAGGCACCTGCCACTCATCAACAAGATTCAAAAGTTAAGCTTTTTATCTCTGCAAAGTGTATTTGGTCTAGCATAAGGGAACAAAGAGTTATTTGCCTATGAAATACAGAGCTAGCTAAAATTTATCAGTGTATTGTAGGTGACGTAGAAACACTAAGCTTTACTGTTTGGTAACTGACTTCCTTGAGAAGACTGAATAATTAATTTCTTTAGTTCGTCTTATTAAACAGATGGGACATTCTTTCTTCCAGTGATAGCTAATCAGTTCTAATCCAGACTCTCATCAATGGTTGACTTTAAAGAGCTACCCTAGTGAAACATAGAATTTTTGATGTGAAGATGAATCCAGAACACCTCTAACATTTTTTACAGATTTCCACTGAAATATATTCCAGGTAAAATGTCTACTTCATGGTCTGTGCTTATCTTCTTTCAGTCCAATGATGTGCAGACACCAGAAACATTTCACTACTATAAATGTAAATTTCCTTTCTGAGGTAGCCTTGGCACACTTGTTTTGTAGTTATCCAAGCTGCGTGTGTTTGAAAAGTAGAGGCTTTACTAGATAGCATGCAAGCTTATGCAAACACAGAAGTAATCACTTAAGTGATGTGTATTTTTTATTTCTGCAGGCATGATGTGTTGCATACTTCTTCCTCTGGGCTTTATTTCTGTTAGTTAAAAAAATTGTATTCCTAGTGTATGCACTATTAACTAGCCACACTGTTTCAAGGCAGAATTAGGGAGAAGTGCTAGCAATTGTATTATCCTTGTATATTTTGAGGGAAATCCATGAAAGAGGTATGCTAATATATATAGCAAATTCATTTAGTTGGGCTGAAGTTATTTTACCAATCTCTCTAGAGTGAAGCATATGAAATCCTTATATATTCACATTCCAGGAAATTTGAAAGAAATGCCTTGCAAATACACTATCACCTTGGCTTAAAAATCTTTAAGATCAAATTATTCAGAAAATTATTATTAATGCAAGACTGAGAGGCTATTTTGAAGTATTGTTTCTTTACTAGATTTTAGAGTTCTAGCTCTATCCATGCTTACTTCTAAACAGATAATATTTTTACCTTTAATGATTATTTACATGCATAATATAATATAATATTGTCTTCCTAGATCACAGTCAGAGCTCTGCACGTTCTGGAGTTGAACCATACTGTAGACAAGCAGGGAACTTGTGAAGAACAATTTAATATCTCATTTAACTTATTTCTAACTGCGAAAGATCAGCAATTGCTTTGGGTGTATTTTGCAAGTATCTTTAAGGAATTTCAACATTCCCGAGTGGCAATCTTTTTATGCAGAATATGCAATCTACTTCTTAGCTGTAGAAACACACAGATAATATTGTGTTCACATTTTGGGTTATGCAAATGCAACTTTCAAACGCTGCGTGCCCACAGTGAAGCTTGCTAATTTTGGAAAATTGTACAAATAACTGACAAACTACAATGAACTCTTCAGCCTTTGGTCTCCCTTGGTGCTGTAAAAACTGGTGCAATTCAGGTACCGTGTCCATAGGGTTTTATTTTTGAACATGGACACAAGAAAGTACAATTTTTTTTTCAGGATCATGCATTTTAAGAACCAGTGCCATTAGGGAACTGCTTCTATCGCAATAACCTGGTTCCACTGCTACTGGCATCCAAACTTGCAGCAAGTTCAAAAAGCCCCACCTTTTCCCACACAAGCCTTTCTCCCATCAGGTGCACAGGGTAGGAATTCCAGTCACCAGCCATTCCACAAGCCTCATGTGTATAAATCCGCTTACCTCCACCAAGAATATTTCTTCACAAGATCTGCTGGGCCAAGACTTCCTCTTTGAATACTGTTTATGTAACACTCAAGAGTTATGTGGGCAGTAAGAATATTGTACGCCACTGATCAATATTTTATTACTTTCATTTTTTAATTTAGGTGCTTCCTTTATTTTTTATTAGCAGTTACTGCTCAAGACTGAGCATTTCAGAGCAAGGGCTTCATTTTCATTTTTGTCTGTGGAGGGCAGAGGGCTACAATTGCTGCTCATGAACAGTAAGACCATGTGTAAATTAAGAAGTAATGCTTGTTTTTTTTAAAAAACAGGCAGCTTCCCCCTGAAGTGGAAAAGAAAATGATTCTTTTTCTAAGTAGTTTCCAAACTGTGGCTAATAAATATTGAAGGCAAACAAGATAAAATATGATCTGGTTAACCATTTTCTTGGAAATCACAATGACCCTGATGAAGAAGTGGAAGTGAGAGAAGACGGAATTTGGTATTCTCTATGTTATCATTTATTGGTGGAGATGAAATTGTGTGATTCATGTCCATTACACTATGACGACAAAATGACCATAATGGGTACTGCCTAATAATAAAAAGGAACTTATAATGGATTAAAAGATCTTTGTCTTTTAATTATCCTGACCAGGTTTTCTTATGGCTGCTAGAGAGAGATACTCTGCCTTGGAAGTAAAACCGCACAGGCTAGTCTGATAAACCTGTTGAATAAAGGCACTTTTAACAAAACAGATTTCAAAAGGCAACAAGTCAAAAAACAACAATTATGTAATTCGCATATGTCTATATATTAAATTTTAAGATAACCTGCTTTATATGTAGTTCGCACAAATTAACAAACTATAGCAGCATACAACCTATGAAAAGCTTAAGAAATTTATTAGATGCACAGATAAAGTGCCATAACAGAGAAACTTGTGTAAATCTTTTTTTAAATAAATAAGGTACAGTTAAACCACCTTCGACTCATTTTAGCTCTGAAAGAAAAGTCAGCCTAAGTTTTAATGATTTGAATTTTAAGGTCAAGGCGAAATATAACAGTGGTTGTGATCTATATCAACTATTGAAGTCTCCTGTTCCTCTTGAGGTTTCCCAGAAACAGGAAGGCTATTGCAAAACGTATACATTAGACATAGTTCCTTTTACAGAAACATTTTTGTAATAAAGTGTGTTTGCTCAAATACATGTTAAAATATTTAACAAGGAAAATTTTCTTCTGATCCAGTCGATCTCTTAAACAAGACAAGGTTTGTTTGTTTTTTTCTACTGTGCAGCCCACAGGAGAGAACAGAAGTAAACATCCTCCTTAAGTGAAGACTGTTTTGCTTTAAGAACTAAAGTACTGCATTATACAAGAGCAAGAAACATCCATTTTGTGCTGTCCCTTTCTCCAAAGATACAGCCCATTGATATATTTAATTTTGTCTTAGTCTCTCAAAAGCCCATTTGTCTTTAGGAAAGACACATTAAAAAGCCCTGCAAGGGTCATCTTACAAGATCTTTTACTGCCTTTTCGTCTGGGGAAGCTCTTGGACAGAAGGATCTGTTACTGCTAGAGTTTTGGATACTACCAAGTTTTTGTGCTCTGTTATCTGTGATTTCAGGCACTTTGGGGCTAACATGGCTGTTTGATTTAAGTCAATGCAATAATATTAGCAATATGTTCAATACCCAGAAGGGTCGCCACAGTTTCCTTCATACACTCAGGATTTCAAATTCTTCTTCCAATTCAAATAGCTTGTCCGTAGATTCAATCAGTTCTGGCGAAAAAAAAATTTAAACCACTTGTCATCATCTAAAGTCATGCCTGATTTTTGTATACATAAAAAAAAAAAAACACAAACAAACAACCCACATACAAAAAAAAAAAAAACACGCTTTTGTGGAATGTGTCAAACAATTTTGTAGGGTTAAAAATGTATGTATTTATCTGTGCCAGCAATTGTGTGTGGCCTGTTTGGATAACTACCTGGTATTTTGTAAGAATGAGTTATTTAATCATGTGGTGATTGCTTGACACATAGGAAAGCATAATTTTTCCACCCGTGATTATGGGTAGAAAATGAGGAACAATAGTAAAAGCACAACAGTACATTCAGGCAGTACTGCACCTGCTCCTGTGGTTGTCACTTCTGGCTTTGTTGGAGGTATGAAAGGAGGCCAGTGTGGAGGATGCTTCTGGACCAGCTCAAACATCCGTAGACTCTGCTGCTTTAAAATCTCCTGAGGACAGAATGCTTTTATTTTAAAAATGCCTCAAGAGAACTTTCAAGCACAAAAAACGTCTGCTTCATTGAAAACATCTTTAATTATGTATGTCTTTCAAAAACTAAAGACTTTTACATGGACCTACAGTGGAAACCTGTTGTTTCAAATACCTGCCATTATGAAGTCACTGCTTCACAGATCTCTAATATTTTCCTAGTTGAAAACACACCTGGAAGACAGATCTCTTGAACTGTCCTACAAGTTCTAAGTGTGTCACAGTTAGCTTTGATATCTATACACCTATAATTCTGTTTACATGTGGAACTCTCTACATTCATGTTTTCTGTTGATCAATGAGAACAAAAGATAGATCCATTAGCTCCAAAAAGAACCCACCACATTTTGAAGGGTAAGTTTTGATCAAGAGAAACAAGTTATTATTGAAGCCAAATTCCCCTCCTCTTCAATCAGGTAAGCTACATCATATCCTGTACTTCGGTTATTTAAAATCTGCTTTCCTTAGCCTTTTTTTTTTTTTTTTCCTCAAAATGAATGCCTTCAGAGACTGTTGTTACTTCACGCTCATACTTCTATTGCTTAGTACACCAACTGCATGCAGAAATGTCCTCAAGTCCTTTTCCTGGG